TTTTATTTAATAAGAAATTCTTGATTATATTGAAAAGAGTGCAAGAATCCATTCCCCAAAAATATTCTCAAAAATAAACGGGATTTTTTAGCGGTTCGAAGCTTGCACTATATTAGAGTAAAATTGTCGGGGCTATAAAACTGCATACCCAAAAATGTTCTAAAGATCCATTTAAAAAAGTTGAAATTTTTATGAAAATTTGTGGAATTTATATGGTGTTGGTTAAAGCTTGGACGATATTTTTACAAAAAATAACAAAAACATTAGCTAAAAAACATTACGAATATTTAGAAAAAATTGACACGAGGTCATTTTTTTGAGTCACTGGGCCTTTTAAATAAGTAAATTATTCGTTTGTCCAATTCGATTTCAACATCTACCCGCTCTGATTGGCAAACCCTTTATTTTTACTTTTAATCTGTTCAAGTATTTGCATACGCAAGTAGAGCCAATGGCTTTACAGTAAAAGCGCAAAATTAAGTAGATGCACACAAGGCTGTGATAATATATTTAAACTGTACGTGTTGTAAATAACTTAATTGCGAAATGGTGTTAAATAATTGTTTTTATTTATTTAATTTTTTAAGAAATATTGCCTAGATAGCCCCCGTGATTATGGCTTAGTAAAAAAAAATGTATTAAGCGGAAGATGCACATGTACGTAATACATGTGTAAGGAGTTCCCGTAATTAACATACATACGTACATACATACATAATTAGTTATATACATACATACATATGTACATATGTGTACAAATAAAATACGTGCGGAAATACGTTGACTGTATATCTTCATCTTAAATTAGAAAAGAGAGGCTTGCCCCAAAAGTTTAATGCCGACAATACAAGCATACAAAATTATTTGTACGAGTATTTATTTTAAAAGTTTAAGAAAAATATTAGATTTTGTTTAGAAAAGAACTCAAATTGTGCCTACATTTTGAAAGGACTGTTCAGAAATTGAGCCTTATGAATATGCATAAATTTCTCAAAATTTCAGACCATTCACTTAAATTTGTTTGAATAAATCGAGTAAAAGGGCTGAAATTTAAAAAAAAGCAATTGCTTAGTTTTTTATTCATAAGGCCCAATAAATTATTTGTATTCTTCTTTGGTGCTGTAACCGCGGAAGCTATTTTGGCCGAGCTCAGCACAGCACGCCAGTCGTCTCTCTTCTGTGCCAACTGACCCCAATTGCAAATGCCAATTGAAGCCATATCCTTCTCCACTTGGTCTTTCCATCGCAGTGGTGGTTTCCCTTTCGGTGTCCATCGAAAGGCATGGCCCAGCCGAAGGAGCCGCTGTAATTTAAGCTCATACAGCTCATCGTTCTATCGCCTGCGACACTCGCCGTCGCCTATGCTTAAAGACCCGTAAGTCCTCTGGAAAATCTTTCTCTCAAATACTCCTCATCGGATATTGTCATAGTCCATGATTCTGCACCAAATACCTACACGGTATTCGTACGTCGATAGAGGACTTTACTCCTGAATTGTCTATTCAGTCCAAAGTAGCACTTCCTTGCAAAAGTGACTCTGCGTTGGTTTGCGATGCTGACATTAAGGGTCAATCAGTTCGTTTTATCAGGCTTCGTCATCATCACAGTGAATTATTAGCTCTTCAAGTTATCTTTAACGTTTTCACAAAACAAATATTTACGTTTTGCTTCTTATTTCTTTTACTTCGTTGACCTTAAACAACAGCAAACTCGGAAATCCAAATGTACTGCTATGTCTCGTCTAACTGGATTGCGAACTTTGATTACTGATTCGGCATGACCTTAATCTGTATGTAAATATTATTACTTTTATTTGTGTCGGAAGTGCGAAGAAAACATTAACATATTTACTTAGGCTACATTGAGTCCATCAAGTTATCATTATTATGCGTCCTATACACTCAAACCAGTTAAATAGTATTTTTAATAAAGCGTACTCTACGCATATCAACTGGTCGTCCTAACGTTTGGTTGAGAAACTTAATGACTACTAAAGATTGGAAAAATATTTACGTTTCAGTTTTCCGACTGCCGTGTCGTACAAAAATCACTCTCTATAAGTCACTCACCATGCCTTTACCGGTGTATGGCGCGGAAGCATGGACAATGCAAACATCTGATGAAGCGGCTGTTAGAGTTTTGGGGAGAGAGATTCTGCGCGAAATTTACGGGGCTTTGCGCGTTGGCGATTGCGAACACCGCAGCTGATTTAAAGAGGCTAAATACCTACTATGCAAAAAAGTAGTAGTATCTATGAATAGAAAAGAAAGTAACATACACTGAGGGGAAAAATATTAAAGTAAATATTCAATTCAATTAAGCACATATTAAAATGACCGCGGCCGTTCTGAAAAAGCATTCATGAAAAAAATAATATTTAATTTGCATGTTGCCTGCACTGGAAACCGAACCCTTACCCTCTCTGAATATTAACAATTTGTGGCAAGTATCTTTGCGCATTCAGCTACAGCCAGACATATAAATTTAATTTTTAATAAGCAAATTTTTAAACGATAATCAAATTTAAAGTATTTATTTTTACTATGCAGTATTTCCCTCAGTGTAGGCTAAGGCAGCGAGCGGGAGCGAGACATCCGCCAGGTTATTCAACCTTCTATTATCCCGTCGATTGTTGTATGGGTCGTTTTATCGGCCCCCCTCTTTTCTAATAAATACTCTATATTTCATCACATTTAATTGGTTAAAGTGCATAAAATATTCAAATATGTAAAGTTTATAGTTTACTTGGTTACAATTAATAAAATTTATTTTTTTCTTCTGACACCCATAAAATGATGGACGAAATTAATATGGCGGCTCTTCATTTAATGGATGTCAATAAAAACAGCAACCAACAGTTAATATTTTTTTTTGTACGAACAACCGTAATTATTAGCTTCCATTTTCAATGCTAGCGAAATATCTGATCGAGGTACGAGAATAGATATTACGAAGAAAACACCTTCATTGATTTTGCATTGACATTGACTTTGACCGAAAATCTAGTAGCCGAAAAATCAAGAAAACGCCACAAGAAAAAATGTTGCATTCAGTGAGCCACAGCAACAACAAATGGTGCTTGACCAAAAGAGACAATGATTAATAAAATATTTAAATGCACTTACTTACATTTATATCCGCTATCCATTTGTATTAATGTCTAACTACATACATACAGTATGGTTCATATCTATAGCACCCTCATTTCGAAGTCATATTTTTTGCCACTTATGTTTATTTATTTATTTTTAACATTTTTCGATTGAAATACAGTTCATTCTCTAAAAAAAAAAAAAACTATAAGAACCCAAGGTTAAAACTTTGTAAAATACTAGAAACAAATTCAACAAATTTTCATCCTTTTAAAATTTTTTCTCAGAAGTGTTCGAATTTTTTGGGTACACAGTTTTATACCCCATTCAATTTTAGTGCAAGCTTTAAGTGCTAAAACTTAGCGTTGATATTTTTGGATTTTTTTGCAAGGGCGTTGCGGTTTTTCCATATGGGGGGGGGGGGCCAAAAATTAAAAAACAAAGGTAATTTTTAGCCATTTGAATTTTGGAAATTATTACACTAAAAATTTTTGGCCAAAAAAATTTTGAAATTTGGGGACAAATTTTTGGGATTTTTTTTTTGGAGCTTTCTACAAAGTTTTAAACTTGGGTTTATATGGGTTTTGTAAAATAAATAAATAAACACGTTGCAAACAAAATCACTTTGAAATGGGGTGCTATAGATATGACCCATACTGTACATACATGTGTGTTATCAAGCTTATGTTGATTTGTAAACAGTTTAACACACACATGATAGGTGAACCGGGCAAAAACGTGCGCGCGCAGCTCTTTTGTGGCAGTATAGTTTTTGTTATTTTTTTATGGCTCCGATTTACTGCTTTTAACTGCTGGTTGTCTGTGTGCACAACGTACTATGTAACTGGTTAAATTCACATACAATATATATTAATTTCTTTTCTGTTTACACTTGAAAATCTTTTAGCACAGCACCTTTTCAAACTGTATAAAAATTTCAAACTTTAATAATAAAAATAATTTTAGTTATTATTGATATTTAGTAACATTTTGACATATCTCTATGTTACGGTGAATAAGGTCAACACTAGAAATCTTCACTATTTGAATTCTTTACATTTGAGCAGTGGTTTGGCCAAAAATTATAACCTTTATAATTTTTTAAGATGCTTGCGTTTTCAAAGATTTTTTTAGCAGCTATATAAAACTGCAGGGTACCCGGCATCGTTTAGGGTAAATAACTGATAAAAAAAATTACGTCAATGGTATGTGCCACGCCTCTTTATTCTGACGCCCATATTCTCATACATATTTCAATTACCTCGCTCCCTCAAATCAAGGTTAATTTTTTTTAACAAACAATTTTTTTACAGGTGGAAACCCTCCTACGTAAAATTTTGAAATAAAGCGAGGCCATTTCGATTGATACCTATATCGGAATAATTTCTTCAATAACTTGAATTTAACTTTTTATATAGTTGGCCACCCTCTTAAAATAACTCACAAATATAATAAATGTTCAAACTAAAAATTTCTTAATATTAACTCGCTTGGCACCCATATTTTAAAAATAATTATTTTATAATTTGAATAAATCCGACCTTTCAAAGGGGTGCCAACCCTCTTCAAAATATATAAAGCTATAAACCTTCTCCTCAGCGCGATGAATATTTTGATGCCGATATTTTAATATTTCCTTAATAAAATTCGACTTTTCAAACAGAAATGGCCCTCTTCAAAATATAGTTGTCAAATTGGCTCAAAATTAATACATCCCTTTGAAGTGTATAAAGGGCAAGTTTCAGTTAAATAGGCGCACGTTTACTATATTTCCCCACAGTTTATATGGGGTCGGCACACTGTGCGACGTTCAGCAGCTGGGTACACGTCTGAAATCATAGACCACCGTTTTTTTCAATACCTTAACCACCGAAAAAAATGTTAAGTGAATAACAGAGACATACATACCTATGTATTAGAGTCCGACCGATTATTCGGCTTCGTTTTGCTGATTAATATGCCAAATTTTTATATTCGGCGGGACCTTTTTGCTATCTAGATTTTTTTGGCAACTCTAGAACGTTCTGGCGTCTATCACACATTCTCTCGCTTTTCGCAGTATTCATCCACTTGACGTTTCTCGCTGTCGAATATTCTACGTCATTCCTCGAACATTCTGCCATTTTCTAGTTGTCCGCTTCGCGTTGCCGCAGTATTCGCCACACTGTCCTCCACCTGCTCCCAACGCTGCAAGTCTTTCCAAGTAGACCACCTTCATCTTGGTTCTCGGTCTCCCAACAGTCTGGATTCGATACACTGCGTCATTCGGCCGCTTCCCAGTTACGTCGTTGTTTGAATGTGAAGCCTTTCTTCAACTGAGGCTTGTACATCAATACCAAATCGCCTTCCTAAGAACCCTCTCGACCCGTTGCGTTACTGGACATTGCCGGCCTCTGGTGGTCACCAGATCGTGTCTGTTCTCATGGGCACCCTTTTCGCCAGATTTATTCCGCTTCCTCTGTCTAATGACTACCACGCTTCGATCCTTGAGCTGCACTGCGTTTAGCACATCTTGCTAAATCCGGATACTCACGCTGAAACTTGCCTAGTGTTTCCGCATCTCGCTCCTCCGCCGAGTCAGTTTCATTGACCGTACATGTATAACCTCATACCGGGCCTCAGGCTTTATCGCTTGCCTTTACATCCTCTGTCGACCACGCCCTTTTCCTGTAAACTTCGAAGTGCGCCCACTGCTTCCACAGCCGCGTCCATTTCCGGCTACCGGCGTTTCACCCTTGTAGCGTCGTTCAGTGGCCTGCCGGAAACACCACCTGGCTTGCCATGACAACTTCCTTGTTGTGACTTCCTCTTCTTCACTGAGCAGGCGGAACCGTCACGCTTTTCCTGTATCGGTGAACCACTTCCTTCTCCTGACGAAACCATTCCGCCTTGTTTGAGAATCTCTCCTACCATGAAGTAAGTAATTATAAATGGGTTTGAAACCTACTTTTTTATTTAAAGTTGCGTTTTTATTTTTTCTCTCTGACCCCAGGATTTATTTTGAAGGAGTTTGTAATTTCAAAAATATGATTAATTCCAAAAATTGTTAAAAAAAATGCAATGCAATGTAAAATAAAAATATGGGTAACAAATGCAAAAGGAAATTTCTTTATTTGCCAAGAATAGGTAACTTTTAAGCTGACAAAGTTAGAAGAACGAAACTCGAGGATGTTATCGAGTTTATATAAGCCCTTAACATATAATTTTTTCAAAAACAAATATTGCAAAATTTCAAGGATGAAATTTTAAAATGACATTTTCAATATTTACCAGCCCTTCTGCACCAGAAACTTAAATCTGATTAAATTCTACAGGATTTTCTCATTAGTTTTATACCCATACTTCTTCGCTAAGCACATTTCTCTGAATTTTTTAAATTACTGACGTCAGAGTGAAAAACTACATAAAAACGCAATTTTGCCATATTTGGCCCATGGTTTTGCGAACATATTGATATTTGTGTTTAAAATTTACTATCGCGCGGTGTTAAATATACAATGAGCTAGACATTTATAAAAAAAAAATTAATTATTAAATAAAAAAAGAAATATAGCCAATGCTGGTCAAGAAAAGGAATTTCTATTATTGCCATCAGTGCAAATTACAAATCCCGAAAATCCCGGGATTACTTGCCAAGAATCCCGGGATTTTCAATATCTTAAAAAGTCCGGGATCCCGGGATTAACGTTCCTAATCCACACTTCATAACAAGTCACTAAAGAAACCTCGGCACCAAAAACTTTATTTAAAATTGTTGGCCTGTGTAATGTATCGCCGATGATATCACGAAGCGTAGTTTGGCGCTCGCAACTATCTAATTGCTAATATCTGAATTTATTATTTATTTTATTTTATATTTTAATTCTTTTTTGTATGTAGCTTTATCTGCTTCTTGCTGGTGATTTCGCTTCCTTGTTATTCAAAGCTTCAGTTCCGAATTGATAAACGAGTTAATTGATGCGCAGATTAACTAAAGTAGAGTGTACGTAGTCTTGTTTGTTTCTTCTCGTAATTTGTCTTGTATTTTTCCTCAAATGTGATGTATTCATATAAAAAAAAAATTATATTATAAAATTAGAATATCGATAAATTTTAGTCATTCACAAGTAACGCTAGCAGTTATTCGACAATTTATAGAAGATTCTCGATTCGTGTTGAAGCGGAAGAAGATATAGGAATGCGTGGATGTGTGTATATATTTATTTAAGTACTAATACTTATGCCAAAATTCTCTAGAAGTTGAAAGCTTACTTCACAAGCTCTTTTCTTAAGTTTGAAAACCAACCCGGTTTAATGTA